CATGGAGAAAATCGATGTGGTCACTAAAAGTTGAAAACTACTTGATGGCATATAATCAATCAATCAGTTCAACCAATCAAATCTACCATTTGTTTCAAAATGTGCTTTATGAAGGACAGAAAGAGGAAAAACTTTTGAAGGAAGTAAAAAACAATAGAAACTATGAACAGAACTATTAGATAGAATACATGCAGTAAAATTTCGATCCTAGCACCCTCCAAACACAATTCAATGAGCTTTGAATGCAATGGACAAAATTCAGACTTCACCCCCAAATAACAAGTCCATGGTTTCTGTAGCAATCCATAACTGATGCATTTTATGTAATTTATGTCAGTTGTGTCCCTTTCTTCATTTGCATAATTAGGGAAATCCCCCCAAAGATGCATATTGATGCCTTAATTAGGTCAATTAAGTAATTGCATAAATGGTGTAAATTACATAAAATTACATACATTAGCACTTAACAGATATTTGTACTTGACAGACATTTTCCCAACTGTAAAATTGAGGTTGTACTATATTGCCATATTGTTTGCCGTTTTCACTCTTATGACTCAACACTGCTACGAGACACCTCTGAACTGCTTTGTAAATCCGTACTTCAGCACCAGGAAGAACGCAAATCAAGTGGCTGCCTTTACACTTTGGTCACTATAAGACTTCCAATGCCTTACTCACTTTGACCCTCTGATCCCATGATAAACTCCTAAAGGAAATAGGGGGGAGCTCTAATTTAGTTGTTTACATTAAGAATATGAACAAATTAGCAAAGATTCCATTGTTGAAAGCTTACTTGTCACCATTCACATGAACTCATAAACAGAGCTTAGGGCAATGTCTCTATTTCATGAACAGAGAAAGGAGAACTTTGTCTTTCCACCTCTTCCCTCTTACCTGTCATAACAATTGAAGTCATCAAGCCAGCATCCTTTCTTCACTAGTTCAATGGAACCAGAGTTGTTTCTCCAGGATGCATAGCAATGGAGGCGCTTGTCTTTCTCGCCTTCACAGCGCTCTACTCCACTCTGGTTAGTCTTCTCCAATTCCCAGTTGGCATTGTAATAAACGCATTCCCTTGTCTCCGCCTCTCCATGGCCAGGTCCTGGAGGAAGATGCAAAAGAACCAAATGTTAATGATCATAGTAGGGTAGGGAAAATAATGAAGGCTGGTCATTGGCCATGCTGACTGGGGATGGCGAGAGCTGTAGTCCAGCACATCTGGAAGACACCAGATTGAGGAAGGCTACTGTTCACATTTCTGACATTCCCAGAAAAACATTTCAAAGAACAGGATGAATAAGCTGGCTCTCCTCCACTAGAGCCAGAATTTGAAATGAGAACAAGCCCTGCTACACTCAGGTACTCATAGGTCTCTTCCCCAGTGTTCCTTCAACATAGCTTGCAAGGAGATACAAAACTTTTCACTTTTGGTTAATCTTAAACACAGTTTGTTTAAAACATATTCACTTTGAAATTGGCTTGTTCCAAACAAAGCAAGCTTAACCATAATTTAAGGAGAGGGTAGGCAACCCGAAACCTTCCAGATATACAGTAGCTGAACCCAGAACTTTCAGCATCCTCATCATTGGCCATGCTATCAAGGTTACTGGACGATCATGTTCAGAAACATCTGAAGGACACAGATTGCCCATCCACGGATTAGAGTTTGGATATAATAACTAAAGTTCAAATCAGTGAAAACTTCCATTCTTCTCCTTGTAGTCTTACTAGAAGGGAGTTGGAACACATTAACCCTGAGTTTCACAACTTAATGTGATCACCTTTTGTTCTCATGCCTTCAAACTGCTCCTCTGTCTGCTTTACTACATTCTCAGAATCAAAAAATCAGAAACAAGTTGCTTCACAGCTATGAGCCAAGCCCAACAGAATTTTAATATTCTCTGGCAAATAATATGCTCTATGCAGCCCTGTTCTTTGTGGAATAAAAGGCCAGAACCAGGGTATCCTTAATAAAACATCTGGCAACTGTGTCATTATTCCTTTAATCAGAGGCAAGGGACAGTAGAGTGTCAGATCTTCAAAGAGTCACAAAACCAGGGGAAAACACATGTGTCTGCAAAGCCAGATGAAAGGACTAGAGATGTTGCTGCTACAAAATCCAAAACGTCTGTCTTGGTACCAGAGATGACAAGGTATGGGGAGAGGGAGAAGACAAGCTTTTCATGGTCAGGGGCCACACTTAAATATTCTCAGAAGGGAAGACCACAGCAGTAGAGACAATGATGCAAAATGGATAGGGAACTTTTCCCTAGAGTCTGGGAATGCATCCTTTGCTTTTTTAAGTGTTCCTTGCCTCAAGGGGTTAAAAATAAAATCTGTTTCTGATTTTCAGCCAACCCATTTCAAGGACCAGAAGGTTACCATTCCCACGTTGATAAAGCAACTTTCCCCAATCACTGGGGAAATTAACCTTACATAACCCACAACTGGGCAATAATGCCATGCAATGTCATGAGGTTTCTCAGTGGATGAAAAGAGAAACAATAAGCCAGTGTTGTCCAAACTTGGCCACTTTAAGATGAGTGGCCTTCAACTCCCAGAATTGCTGGCTGGGGAATTCTGGGAGTTGAAGTCCACTCATCTTAAAGTGGCCAAGTTTGGACAACACTGCAATAGGCTAACATCAAACTAAAGAAGGGATAAGTTTGCATCACAATATTTGCCTTCCGTGGTTTATCTATTTTTAGACCCCCTTCACCTCATCCAAGGCAATCCTGCTCAATTTCCTTAGATTTCCAAGACACAATCCAAGTCAATAAGAAATAGAAAATTGATCTTTCTACTGTCTATCAGATTCCCAATCATCTGCCGTAGAAAAGTATGAATTACTAATGCTAATTGTCTAACAAAAGCCTCGCATAGGGTGCTCCTTTTTCACACTCAACGATCTGATACAGGGACATATCTTTAACACGATATTCAGAATATGATTTTATGCCAGAGAATAGTGACACAAGTTTCTTTTCTTTGCAACTAGCAAATAAATATAATAATTATAACCACAATCTTAGCTAAGCTTCATCTTGGTATCAAAATTGAACACATCTGGCAAGAAGAAAGAATTAATAACAGCCCCTTTCAAACTTCAGCTTCCGTACTTGGTAAGAATCAGGCTTCCTCTCACTATTATGGCATACTGTAATTAAAAAAAAAACCCTCTTCACCTTAACTCAATTAGAGATCAAAAATATCCAAGGAGGATAAGGCTTTTATTATATTTCTTCTCTTAACTTGATAATAAAATGCATGGTTTGAAATACCTGAGAGAAAAAAGTTTTAGGAAGCTATATTAGGACCAACTGGAAGGTAGTCATGACTATGAGTCTACAGTATTCTAGAGGAGGAAAGACCTTTCCAGGGATGAAATGTAGCAACCTCTCTTTAAACCAGGGTTCCTCAACCTTGGCAACTTTAAGACGGGTGGACTTCAACATGCTGGCTGGGGAATTCTGGGAGTTGAAGTCCACCCATCTTAAAGTTGCCACGGTTGAAAAACACTGTCCTAGGGCAACTACCTCTCCAAACACCTGACATCCAAGAGGAATAACATCCAATCATTCATAGATGATAAACAGGCATTTTCATAGCTACTTTTAACACTCTGGTTCCCACAATCAAATTCTAATCCACTTCTCTACCAACTACACCCTCTTGGAACTCCATTTTCACAGACTGCAGTATTTCAGTACCCACTCAAACGTTATGCTGGAACCTGGCTTGCAATTTGTGAGAAGCTTCCCATCCATTCCTCCAAATGACATTTCTGTTTTTCTATGTTATGGTCAGGATGCTTAGGTGTTGCTTCCCCAATTCTTTTTTTTTGGGGGGGGGGTTATTTTGGGGCAGAGTTGGAAGCTGGAAGGGGGCCGCGGGGGAAGAGAGAGAAAAAAAAAAGAAAGACCTCTTGGCCACCTC